TCTCTTCGGAAACAAACCGAGACAGTGACGATTTTGCAGCGCAAGAGTTGGAATAGAGTGTACGAGTTGAGGGGGAGGGGGGTTGTTATATATTAGACGCATTAGACGAGCTAAGGCTGTTTGCACATGTTTTAACAATGAAGATGTCAAATCCATTATATGCGCCTTTGCCGGCTTTTCTTTTTCTGAGCAAAGTGGTGATGAGACGTACTTTGCGCATCTATTCCTGGATTATTACTCTGGTTGGGACGCTGTGATTTGGAAGAGAGAGATCAATTGACCAGCGGCGCAATGGGCCCACGCGACCATCGAGGATTCGACGATCTGGCTGTGATGAGGAGGCACAGCAAGCGGGTATGAATGCACGACGTCGGCCTGGACGAGGCTGTGGACAGATTGTCCGTCACAGTACTTTCACCGCAAGACCAGAGGCCCCTTCTCAGGAACGGTCAATGCAGTAATATGAGCCAGACACAGGACAGCAACATGCAGGATTGAGGTCGTACAACAACCGCATCCCCAACGTCTCATCACGCACATGCGAATCAAGGAACACTGCAGCAGCGCTGAGAGGCGTGGCCCTGGCCACCCAAGGAAGTAAGTAATTAACTTACAGTAAACTAACACCCGTCACGTACTGATTGTCGTAATCATGCGCCCACGACAGCGAGTCGGAAGAGGTCTAATCGATAAGCCTCAATGGCGCTCCCTCTGCAACCGCCCCCAATGGCGCAAGTCCAGGCCATCATCCAAAACTTCTCAACTTCCAAGGCAAAGGGCAAAGAGAGAAGAGACAGGAAAGGGTAAAGAGGCAGAAGAGAGAGACCCAAATGACCTCCATCCCGTCTCCACAAAATCTCCTCACAACGACTCCACAGCACCCAAGAGGCTAATCCGAGTAATAGTCCGCCCCAGCTGGGGGGGCAAATAGCGGGGAAAACCAGCCCATGAGCCCATCCAGGCCCATCTCCATGCCCCCAAGAATCGCCCAGCGGGTACTGTACACAGTAGAGGAGAAGAGAGAGGAGCCCCAAGAGTTGCAAGTTCCCCACGAGCCCACCAAAAAAAGAATCCACCACCATCGCCGCCGCAAGAGGTTGGTGCCTTTGCTTGCTTGATGCTTGCTGAACCCCCCAATGGCGTCTGGCCCACTTTTCTACGATGTGCAACAAAAGAATGCGGCAGCCAGTCAAGGAAGACGGTCGTGATGGAGACAGTGATCATGGAGATGTTGTGAGGAGAAGGGGCTGGACCCACTTTCGCCTTACGATGTGCAACAAAATATTGTGGTTGTTGTTTTCTTTGGTTGCGCTTTCTTTTGGTGATGGTGGTTTGTTTTTTGTAGATGCGATGCGATGCGATTGCGGTGCGCGCGGACCTCGGTGATGAGGGATTGGGATAGAAGTGATAGGGAAGGAATGGAAGGGAGTGATTGGGGGTAGGTGAGTTAAGCGTGCTTTTATTTGGACTTCATCCGTTGCGAGTGCGGTATTGAGAAAGAATACTGTACTGCGATAGCAAAGAAAGTGCTCAGGAGAGTACAGGTTAGCTCATTCACCTTTTGCAATCGTTGGAATAGATTCATTTCTAGACCAGCCTGTTGTCTTGGGTGCAAGGCGCAAGACGCAGGTCTTACAGGTTTTGCTTTTTCCCAACGGGTGGAGCTTTCAGCTATCTCCAGAACCACAAACAGAGTGGATACGCTGCTGCTTTCAGGCAGTTGATAAGGACAATACTTGTATGTACAGTGGCAGGATGCAGGAGGTATATCCACTCATTTCAAAGAGACCCAGTAACCTCACTGCATAACCAAGGAGATGCCTTTCATTGGGGCTTGTGCATGTTTTCTTTTTCTACTCTTATCACCTTTCATCACCTCTATCATCCGTGTAATACTACTAGTACTACAGTACCTGCTCCTTAACAGTCATCATCCACCCAAGATTATCTATCTGTAACATGCACCCATGTCTACATCCATCCACGTGCTTTGCTGCCGGTATTGCAGTAGCACCTCATGCTCTATAAATAATAGGTAGCCTTGCTCGTATAATCTACGCAAAAGAATGACGTTAGAATGCCTATCATCCGACTAGAGTCCATGCCGCTACTACGCCCTAGGTTCAAGATATATCAGAAACACACGATTCGCCTTTTCCTTTTAGCATATAGAACCCTGTGAACTCTTATAGATTATTTGAACGAGATCTAGTTGCAAGATAATGATAAAAAGGTAATGCTGATAGAGCTATAGATCAATAGTCATGCAATTGGCTATCTTCTTTTGTAGCTCCAACACCAGGTTCAATAAGTTGAGGCTGCCCCTATAGAGGCACCTTATAAAGAAACTACTGAGCTCACTTCATATATTGGCCACCAAGACTGCCATCACCAGTAACAACTTCTCCTGTGTCTCCATAGAAAGATGCCCGAACGACATCATCCATCTTGACAACTCGATCCAGTGGTCGGTAAGTCCTCAGCTCTCTCAAATCGACCCCGTGGGACATCGTCGCCACCATGTCATCATTACAGGGACGGGCCTTTCTCTCTTTGGCATTGAGCATAATAGCGATCAAGAAGACCAGGCTTAAGAAAAGCATTGCAAATGGTATGATCAGCCATGCCTGGGAACGACTTTCTAGTTCTGCAACATGGTTTGGCTCTAGCCACCATCCCCCGAAGGTCATTGGACCGAATAGTTAGCGCTAGACCGTCGGCTGTCCTATCTATAAGATTGTGGAAACCAGTTCTCGAGCTGTTCATGGAGCTGTAAAATGGTCTGAACTTAGGCTGACGAAAATATGAGAGATTCCCATGATTGAAAAACGATTCGCACGGCAATAGACTGTTAAGAGATGTTCCCTGTCAGAAATGAGCCTTGTCACAGGTCGGTGGGAGTCGTAGCGTCGCCGCTTGAGGTGTACCGGACTTGAAATAATAGAACGCTCCGGAAGAAGAGTCTATTAGTACCATGTTGGGCTGATTGGTCCCGGTAGATTATAGCTTCTTGACCAATGTGCCGTTCTGGATTGACAGCGATCATATCATGAACCACGAGGGCCACGACTAGTTTCGTCCAAAAGCCTGAAATCATTCAATGATCTCATTTTCTGGAGCCATATCTAATTTTGACCGTTCTAGAACCAAGGCAACCGAGATGCTTAGTATCAAAGTCCCGATGGTGCCAGGATGGAAATGATGGTATCAGTTGTGATGTTTTGGGGCCATTCTGGAAGGGCTTCGGCGTTTGAAATGTATCAAAATTGCAACGATGGAAAGGAAGAATAGCAGACTGACTAGCCAGCTGACCACCTCTCCTGGCCAGAAGAAAGCCTGTCACATTGTCCAGCTTCCTTTCTTTAGGTCCTTCGCCTCGAGCGTCTGTAGAAAGCGGCAGTGTCTAATTCCATAAAATCAAATGTGAAGATGTCGATTTCCAGGATAGAGTCAGGCTTCCAGTTTGAAAGGCTCTAGTATATCCAAAAGAGTCCAACGTACCATAAACCTACATACAATCGCTGGCTCCTGTCTCTCTTACGCCGCAATTTCAGTCCTTCGAACTCGACTGTCTTCTGCCATTCCCAGGCCATCATCCGGATGTTTTAATCTGCAAGCATACCCGGCGCATACCCCTCAGTATATCTCCTCATAAACTTAGTGCTCGCATGGAACCTCATCTTCCAATGTAGGAAGATACGTTCCGTCTTTCCTCCCTCCTAGATACGACCCTCTCATGCCACTGTGTTCTTTAATATATCCCTACATCTTCAATTCAATTCTTTCGCCTCAACTCCACCCTCATCTCCCCCTCTCTGTCCGTCCCCGCCCTAGCAGCCGCCGTCTCTCTCGTCAACCCCATCAAAACAGTCGTATGCAGCGGCCGTTCTTCATCCGGGAACAGTGCATTGATATCTTTGATATCATCCATCATGGCTTCTTCTGGAGAGAGGGTGTACCACGGTGGTGGCTGTGGAGACTTGGTGGCTGGTTCTATGGCACGAGCACGAGAGAGAATTGGTGTGATGAGGAGGAGGAGGAGGAAAGTAACTATTGGAAGATGCATTTTCCAGGTATTTCTTGCTGGTTAATGTTGATGTTGGTTCCTCGGGTACGACACAATTCGATCCCTATCAGTTGACTCTAAGTATCGTAGAGAACCGATAGGATATCAACCTCGTAGAGAAACGAGACCCCGTTTGTTTACGAAACGAAGGAATTGGAGCAGCAGGACCCAAAAGAATGCTGGAATCAACTAATCAGTTGATCAAACAAACTTCTCGATCAGAGTTTGCACGGATCAAACTCTCTCAATTCGAAGAACCAATCTGCACTCATCAAACGCACGACAATACGAGCGTGATGGAGTGCCAAAAAAGAGCAAATAAAAGTAAAGGAAACCAGAACAAAAAGAAACCCCAGTTATTTAAACAAAGCCCCAGGAATTGGGCAGAGTCCAATAATCAGTCTAAAGACCGGCCATTCGCCGCCTTACCCATCTTCCCTTTGCTAGCACTGTACCGCACATCGCAGATAGTGACCTCAAATTACCCAAGTAACTGTAAAGGCGAGAAGGTACAGTAGAAACAATGGAGCGAATGCAACCAACCGGAAAATGGCCAATGCCAATGCCATAGCCAAAGCCGCCTCCCCGCAAATAGAAAGGCTGCACTGGCCCACGGGCGAGAACGCCACGCTGGGGGAGCTTGGGGATCTGCGGAATGCGGGTTTGGGCGAATCCTTTCTTTTGCAGTAGGTCATTGCATTGTTGCCTGTGCAAGCGATATGATATGGGTATGGGTACGGAGTATCCGTTAGATAGACAGATAGGTAGATAGAGACGTAGTATTGGAGATAAAGAACATAGACGGATTTTGATAGATGGGTGGTAATCAGTGTGTGTGTGTGTGTGAATGTAAAATTTTGTTGTATGTCTATGCTGGCTAAGAATCTCCATACAGTAGTACTTTATTTGCTCTAAAAAGGGAACAAAAAATTTTTGACATGAGTGGGGTTTGAACCCACGCCTCTCTCGAGAGCGGTGCAATCCGGGATAGCTTAAAACCGCCTATAACCTCTGTTAGTAAATGAGTCTACATGTGATGGACAAGCCCACTAACCGCCTTAGACCACTCGGCCATCATGCCAGTATGTGGGGAACGCCTAACTATATAAATAGATGAATGAGCACAGAGGTGTTTCACAGATGCATGGTTTTTCGGTAAACTGGTTATGCCATACAGCCAATTAAAGGTATATTATTGTCTTTCTTTAATGTACATTTTGTATCAATATTATGATTATATTAATCTGTAAATATTATTACCCTTTAATAATATATAACGCTTAAAGATTACCTAAGTTTTCCAGATCAAATAGTTAAAAATAAAGTGAACTAGTTAACTAGCTATAAGCTAACAATTGCATGAGCACGTGGTCATTGAGGAAAAGTTTACTTAGCAATAACATATTGAAAGCTAGCATTAACAGCACCTCATAACCAATCGTATTGGAATTCTGAACTGTCTCAGACATGGAACAGAACTTTGGCCAGAGCAAGCTTCAGCCACTCATATTGCAGTCTTGAACCATTACAGACATGCAACAGAACTTTGGTCAACAGCAAGACTCTCCACAGCAAGACTCTCCCTCTCTTGTATTGCATTCTGATCATAGATGTGCAACAAAATTTTTGGTAAGAGCAAGCTTAAGTTACCGCATCCCAACGTGAGAGCCGATGATACTGTGGAGGTCAGTAAACCTCTTCCGTAATCAGTACGTAATTAACGGCTCTACGATAATACTTTACATACGGAGTACTGTCATATCAATCGGAAATACGAGGAGATCCAAAGTCTAGTACTTCACACTTGAACCAATGCAGAAACAAGAGAGATCAAACTGAGTGGGGAGCAGCAGACGACAATGCTGCGCTCAAGACCAGAAACCCCTGGTCCATTCGTAATATTCTTAATCTGTCAAGTGCCAAAATGCCTCAAATAGCTAAAAGCCGCCTGCCCAAAATGTAGCTCGTAAATAGAAAAGAAATCTCTCTATATAAATATCCGATGAAATAAATCCCATCTAGAAGGTCGCTGCTCTAGCCCTTCTAAATGCACCTTGCAGACTCACAAAAGCCTCCAGGTTCCCGTCACTTTGACGTCTTGGACGTCTAAGTCTTTCCATATTGTAAACGCCAGTCAACGAAGGTTGTATGTATCAAATGCTCAAATCCGGCCGCCGAATCGATGTAACACTATTATGTCCGTGTATTCTATGTGAACCGTGTGGAGGTCTAAGCAAGCAACGTGCCAACCTCGACTACACCACAGATAACTCCATTTTGAACGACAGCGAGAATGGCATCGTCGCCATAAACAGCCATGCCGTTCTTCTCTCTCTTTCTCAAACCCCGAATCCACTCTGCCGCACTTTGAATCTCCATTTCTCCAGCAACGTTGATCCAAGCGTCCTTCCTTGCCATTAGCCCTTCGATCTGCTCTATTGGAAGAGACATGTGCAAGGGACTTAGCCTCTTGATTTGGCGTGGAGATAGGACGACATCCGTACCAGATCTAACCCATCCAGAAGTGGATTGATAGGCTGACATAAGGGCATGGGCTGCCGTAACGACATCTTTGCCGCTTGTGGCCTTGATGTCAGGTATCCCGTTTAATTCGAGAGCGATATCAAGAATCTTTTGAGGGCCTTTAAATGCTGCCCCTATCGCGCCCCCAGGATGGTTCTGCGAAAATACCTTTGCAACATTGTTCTGATGTAGCTCGCCAGAGATCACCACCGCGAGCGCATCTCCCAGCGCAAGCGCCATAGTTGTGGATGTCGTAGGTGCCGAGACACCGAAAGACAAGGTCTCAGACTCATGAATTGGGGCAGGCAGAAGAATGGCATCCGGGCGCTGGTTCAGAATTTCACAGGTGGAGGGGCGGATGTGGGATGTCATCACAATGACAGGTAATTCGGGTTTAATATGTGGTAGAAGAGTCAAGAGTTCCGGTGTCTTGCCCGAGAATGTGATAAAGAGAATAGTGTCGTAGCGCCCAACCTTTCCAAGGTCTCCATGCAATGCTTCCGTTGGATGGAGATATGTCGCATGGACAGCAAGACTATTCATCGTAGCCACCAACTTCTTGGCAATATGCCCGCTCTTGCCAACTCCGCAGATAACCAGCTTGCCCCTGTCACCTTGGTAACGAGCAATTGCTTCCACAGCAGAATTAAATCCTCCTCTAGCAATAGGATCAGTCTGGTATAGGCGTGTTAGACACGATAGAGCGGTTGCTTCGGTACCGAGAACATGAATTGCGGTCGACAGTCTCTGCTGGAAGCACGGGAATGAATCCTGGATCTCAGCAGGAGTAATAGGCATCAAATCGTCCTCCAATGGAGGAGACATTCCTCGTTCACATGGCGTTGCAGGCGAAGGAGGAGATGGAGGTGAGGGAGGCAGCGAGGGAGGATGGATGGTATTGTTGAGGATATAGACCTCGCTGTTCTGGACTGGGTGATCCACGGCCATGGTGACCAATTGGAAGTAGTCGCAGGTATAGAAGAAGTCGAAGTAGTTCCTGTCTCTTGGAGATCTAATCTGATACCGATAGTGGGAGACGCTTGGCCTAATCGGTTATCTGCCGTGTGGCGAAGAAAATGTGTGAGCTGAAAGAAGTCAGAATTCGGCCAGAAGACAATGGAGTAACACCAGTGTGCTGCTATCTACTGACTGGAGATATTATGTATATATATACTGAATATATGACTTATCTTTCCGGTAACTGTAAACGTGTAGTTGCGGACGGACCGGACGGATATGCAGGAATAGCCAAAAAGTAGTCGAAACTTCTCAGATAGAACGGAAAGTAAATCTGCGCTTGCGGATCATCCTGTATTGGTTGTTGACGGGAGCCATTGAGCAAAAAGCAAAACAGAAGCTGAGACTGGCTGATTGAGATTGATATAGCTGGGGGAGAGGTCGTAGTGCGGTACTTAATAAGAAAGACCATGGACCAGGAGGGAGAGAAGGCGAAGATCGAGAAGGAGGCGTGGAGCTAGGTCTTAGCGGGGAGCGCAAGGCCCAGATAGGCAGGGAGGGGTTATCTACGCCAGCATACGGATCTGAGTGGCCGCGAACAACCCCAGAAGCTTTGGCATCAGCACTGAAGCATCTCGACAGCCGCGAACCCTTGCAGATCGCCGCGCAACCCCCTGAGATGCCCGAGGCTGGTGGGCAATTATTGGGGCGGCGAGTTCTGTATCTGCTGCAATCTTCTGCATCTTTCTCACCATCTCACGCAGCCAACGACAAACGCCCATGCAGTCCGCCAGCACCCTCAGCCCGTCCAGCTCGTCTAGCACGCAATCCGCGCCGCAGAAGAGCCACAGCAAAGGGGCCGCATTGGGGTGACTCAAGGGCCCTGCATCTGGGACGTTGCGATTGCCTGCAGACTTTGCTTGGTGTACCTCCGAACGCTTGTCCCGGGGTTCGAATGGCGATGCCTCCAAGAACCGCGTGTGGTGGGGCTCAAGGCTATTGGGCACGGTAATAGAGGGTTGAGCAAGAAGCATCAGAGTACGGCAGCTATACTCGTACAGTATCAACCGTAGTCAGACGCAGTGAGATCGCAAGGCTGCCTTGTTCACTTCCCGGTGTCTCAGGATATCGCAAATTCAAGAATAGGCAAAGATCTCTTCCGGTGAGCTTCTCCATCCCTAGCTGGGGCTTTGTCGACTCTTGTCTGCTTGCATCAAAAGGCACAGAGATGTCGTCGTAAGTAGTGTGAAGACTAGGGATGCTGCCATGCCGGGATACCGGCATCGGGTGAGGTGGAGACGGAAGCACCAAAAAAAGGTTGACTCCTCGATAACAACTGCAATTGCTTTGTTGCACTATGCCTGCTCCTGCTCCTGCTCCTTCTCATCCTCCTCGAGCAAAACAGGGTGCTTTTTCATCTGATAAAATCATTACTCGTTGTGGAATATGACCAGTTCTGTACAGCGCTCTTGATTCCGCGGATATCAAGTAATCAGTGTGATTTGCAATTTTGCATTATTCAAGCAGTTCCGCTCTCATCTTACAACCGATTGCTCGCAGCTTTTAATGGCACTTCCACATGCCTCCCTCGATAATGGAGATGCAACCTATGCCGTTTACAAAGAGCGCTAAGGCTGCGTGTATCCTGCCGTGGGGGATATCACCCTTCCTCTTCGGGTATATAATACATTCCGAGATATCCAGCAATTAATAACTCCATCAAGCTTGGCCCAGAGAGCCACCTCCTGATGTGGGGAAGGTTTCCAGTGCGTTCAACCCAGGCAACACAAACACATACGGTCCAACACAAGAGCACCTCAACTTAAGGGTATGACAGTATCGGCACTGCAGCCTCTGCGTATTGCCAAGGACACGAGTGCTGAGAAAGCCAGAGTTTACTGATAACTCTTTCACTTTACCCACGAGCATTGGGGAGGTATATCCAGCAACTTGTATCATCAAAGCCTAACCGACCTTAACGATGGAGGTTGAATGAACCATAACAAAACTCCCCGCCATGCAAGTAATTGGTGTTTTACCGCTGGGTTGGCCGTACTCGGGAGGGTCACACTGCATGTGCAAAGCAAACAGATGGCCAAGCAAGCTCGTTGTATCGGGCATAAAGGCGTGATTAACCCCGGATTAACAAATCATCAAGACCAAGTCACAACGAGATCGAGGCCGAGAGCATGGATTTCATAGAGGCCGCGGAATCTCCCCTGGGCGGTTTGTCATAAAGATGTGGTGCCTAAGAACAAAGGCAAAATCACCGAGGCAGTTTTATGTCCGAGTTGACAGCTTATATCCGAGCTCCATGCTACATGTCACGGGACTATGTTCTTGATTAGCTCATGGCACGTGATACAGATTTACACGTGACTAGCACATGACGTAGCCGATACGATAACTCCCGTGACCTCGAGACGCTCAGACCAGGTACGACGGAACAAGAAGCTCTCGAGGCCTGGCCAATCAACACCAAGCTTGTGCACGGTTGGCTTCATGCGCTGAGATGTGGATCTCCGCTCGATCCACCGCGCACCGTAAATTAGAGCTGCTGGAGCCTTTTGGCAGGACCTTATTTCCATGTCAAAGGAAGCT